TATATATATATATATATATATATATATATATATATTAAGTTTTGTACAACGTTTCACAAATTAGTTGTGCAATATCTTTATTACATATAATTTTTAATTTATATAAATAATATTTAATAGTTTATATATTATGTAACATTTTTAAATTGTAGTTTGAAGTTTCGTTGAATAAATCAGTAAAACTTGATATTCTGGCATCGCAATGAAAATCAATTAGCCGCTGCTCGGCTAATAATTTGAATTTTCACAACATTAATATTCTATTAATAATAATAACAACAACAACAACAACAACAATAACAATAATAATAATAACAATAATAATAATGATGATTCTTAATTACAGGAATTACCTATAAAAATTATTTTCTCATTTTTTCATCTATCAATCCTGTCTCTCCTCGTAATATATGATATTACAATTGACATTATATGTAAATGTAATGGCTTATTTGTTTTTAGTCATCCCAAGTACCGAGCCGCTCTGTTCGCTAGATTCCCTTCGCTATCTTGTGCGGAACAACCAGCTCCCGATGCCGTCTCCACTGTTTCAGGCGTAACAACAGTTGCGGACAACGATAAATCAAATGCATGAACGGCCAAACAATTCTTATAATTTCATTTCTAAAAGAGCAATTATAAATGTTATACGACGAGAGTCCACTCACACGAATAATGTGAAATACTTGAAATTAATTTGATATTTAATATGGAAATTAGGTTGATAACGTCAAGAAATAATGCAACTTTATTGAAATTTTAAAATGAAAAGGAAAGAGTTACTGCAATATTTACGAGTAAGTCAAGATACCGAAAGAATTTTTAACTCGTTACTTTTTACATTGAAAAGGGTAGTGTAGATTAGAAAGGGTTGTAAAATAAAGGTAAATACATGTAATTCGACATGATTGTATTTAAAACAAAAAAAAACAAAACAAAAAAAAACAAAAAAAAAACAAAAAAAAAACAAAAAAAAAAAGAACTTGTAAATATTGATGAATGGAGATGATAATAGTATATAGAGAAATTTGAGAAAGTGTCACTTCTGTATTGGAAATTTGTAACTGATCCACTCAGGCTTGATTTGTTGCTTGTCTATTTGTCCCTCTTCTAAACAAACTTTTAACATGTACACGCATATAAAGCATACAGAGCAATTTTTAAAATTGTACAAGAAACGGTAATACATTATTAAGGTGGATGTATTCGATTCCCTAATATTTGAAAGTAAATTGTATTAGTAACTTAACAATGTCACTTATGTTAATTATCTACGTTAATAATTGCCAAAGAATCACGAAATACACACTAAATCGATCCTAGTATATCAATATTATGTGCTTACGTTAAAATAAATGTTATTGTTAAGTCAATCATAGTAACTTAATCATCCGTAATAGAATTGCGACTTGTCATTCACCACAACATAAGTCGTTCAATCTGTCATCGGATATATTATCGATTTACCGATTTATTTAATATTAACATAACTTATCTGCGGTGGTCACTTTATTATTATATTTTTTTATAAAGCGCGTATCTATGGCTGTATAATATTCGCCCTGATATAATATTACAGAATTTAGACGTGTTATTTAACGAAACCCTACAGCGGCGTTATACATTTTATCTGTAATTTAATTTTGTAAGTTGAAATAAATCCTGTATGCATTCAACATGCAAAAACACTTTAGTTATTCATTTATTAACATTTGCTTTCATACTATCTGATAATATTATTCATCAATTATACATAATATTATACATAATATAATACATCAATTTTAATTAAGTAATGTTATAAACAATATTCATTATTTACTAACTACTATTAGGCATCAATAATAAAAAGCGATTATTATTTCACTAAATAATTATCATGGAATCATTATTATGTATTATCGATAGTGAAAACAAAATGATTTTCTAAACTATTATAATTGAATATATTTTTACAAAAAGAAAAATGAAATATCATTACATTATAAGCCAATGTTATATTAATATATATATATATATATATATATATTGTGAAAAGTTTGCATAATGTAATTAATTAAATGTTTTAATTTTCTATATATATATATATATATATATATATATATATATATATATATTTTTTTTTTTAATACAATATGCAATTTCGTTCATATTTTAAACAATTTTACGTAATTTCTAATATTTTTCAATATTTTAATAATCGATAATTCAGTCAAAATCTTTTCATTGCTTTGATGCATTCGGTTAATAATAACAATTAAGATTGTTGAAAATTCCTATCAAAATAATGCTAATGACATAGTTGGTCAAATACATCTAGAATATCATTATATAAAGTAAATATATTATTCATAAAAAATTAAATTGTAGACTTGACATTATTAATTCTAAAAATGTCTAAAGATAAACTAATAATTATTCGTATTTTCTGTTAAATTTTCTTTCGAGTGATTAAATTTCTATTTATATGTGAAAATTATAATTAAATATTTACAAATCAAATGTAATACAATTTTACACATTTCTGCATTTATAAAAATGCGAAGCTAAAACAATAATCAATCACTGTACAATTCAAACAAAATTGAAATTTTATATTAAACAATATTATCATGATAAAGTCAAAATCAAAATATATAAAATTTAGTCAAATGTGCTCCAAAATTAATAATTAATTTATATAAGTTGGCTTTTAATATGCAGCGATGTATAAAAAATGTAATATAATTTTTGGCGAACTGAAAAATGAATTTATTTATCTGATCATAGCAAACATGTTAAATGAAGATTTAATTTAATTTAATCCTTTCTGTCATTATATTTTATTTATGAATATTATCTTTAATGCCAAACTATATGTTACTATACATAAGTAAAATTGAAGAACAACAAATAATAATAAATAATTTACGTTCGATGGATTCATTTTAATATCAGTTTAAAAATCTCATATCAAAATAATTTACGATTACAAAGTTAGAATTTGTATTTTATGTAAACTCTTAAAGTAAGAAAACTTCCTAATGTTATATTTTGCACAAATATTTACCGTAAGGCCATAAGTAAATTGTTTGAATAATTGATTCTTTTATCTTTTAATAAATTTATTCAACTTTAATATCATATTAATATAATTTATAGTAAAATCAAAATTATTTTTTATTTTTATAGTTTGTATTATATTTATTGTAAAAAGCTCAGAAGTAATAAATCCCAAACCATTATGTAAAAAAAAAAAATAATAAAAAAAATCAATGTTATTTTTAACAATACATTATTATATTGATTTACTTTATGTACTATGCTACTGCAAAATCCTTATATACATGCGCGCACAGGCACACACGCACACACACACACACACAAATAAACAAACAAACAAACACAAAATAAGGAATTATATGATTTGTGCAAATAAATATGCAAGTAAACACCAAATGAATTATTTAGAGTAAAACTTAATTTGATGTTTAAACGATGAATAAAAGTAACGTTGTTTTTTTTATACTTTATATTATCTTTATAAAATAATAATAATAATAATAATAATATATTTAGTAATATTTACATGATCATACTTCTTAAAGACATTGGAGATATGGCAAAGAAAACATTTTTACTACTGTTATATTTGCTACTACAAAATATAAAATATAATTTTTTTAATGTGCTTTTTGAAAAATTTTATAAATAAATTATATAATTAAAGAATATACGAAGTAAATTTTTTTTACAATAATATTGTCTTCTTTATATGATAGATAACCAAGAGGAGTAATTATGCTTTGCCATCGGATGTTTGAGTTGACGTAGCATCATTAGCCTGTTTTTTAGCTGGTTTTTGTTCGTCTGTATCTCCAAAAACTAAACAAGGTAGTTTTGCCTTTAATCCAGCTCTGTATTTTGGATGACTGTAACGAGAATATTATATCATCGATATATAAAATTTCCACACATTTTGTAATATTGTATTTTATATTACAAATATTTGTTTTTTATATTATATTTTTATAATATTTTTATATATAAAATATTATATATATATATATAATATATATATATATATTATAATATATATAATATATAATATATATATAATATATATTATATATTATATATTATATATAATATATATATAATATTATATATAATATATAATATATATATAATATTATATATATATATATATATAATATATTATATATATATATATATATAATATATATAAAATAATATATATATATAATATTTTTATAATATATTATGTAATATAAAATTGTATTTTATATTACAAATATATATTACAAATATATTACAACATACATTTACCTGAATGCATAAACTATTGGATTATAGCAAGCATTTGTTTTTGCGAAAAGAGATGCCCAAATAGTACAAAGAGGAGTGATGTACTGTTTATTAAAAATTCCCATATAATTGGTTACTAAATATGGTGTCCATGCCAGGAACCATAGAGATATAGTTGTTAAAGCTACCTGTAATTAATTATTTTTCCTTTCATACTCTACAAAAATTTTAAGAAAAGAACTTAATGATTAATAATCCATTACTTTGGCTAGCTTTGCTTCTGCGCTTATCGAACTTTGTTCACCCGAACGTAAGGAAGCTACGTTCATCTTTTTAGCTTGGTCTCGCATTGCTTTCTCATGAGCTGCAACTGCCTAACGAGGTGAAACAATATTTACAAATACAACTTAGGCTTTAATACATAATAAATAAGAATTTTTACTTACAGAAACAATATGATAGTAAGAGAATATGATAGAAAAAAGCGGCGTATAGTAAACAAAAACAGAATATACTAATATATAAGATTTCCCGAGCCATTCATCCGATACATAGTCAGTACCACAAGATGTCATGTTGCCTTCGGGTACATACCTAATAAATTTATGGAGCTTAAAAAACTTTATTTTATATATTTTTATTTGGTTGGAGAAATTTAATTACCTATTCCATCCAATTAATGGTAAAATAGCCCACAGTAATCCATGAAGCCAAATAATAATAACTTGAATAGCTGCTCGTGTCATTGTTAATGGGGTTCCAGACATCCCCTAAAAGACAATAAAGAAAAATCATTCTAATTGACGGCTAATTCTTAAAATTGTAATACATTTTCATAGCATTTTAAATAATAATAATTGCAACTTACTTTTACAATAACATTATATCGATCGTATGCTATTGCAGTCATTGTCCATATTGAGGCACCGCCGCATAAGGAACCAATTAATGCATATATATCACACATTAGAGGACCTTTTAAGAAAATAATTGCTTTCTGTGACTATCATAAAACATCATTATCGAAACGATCTTTAGATCAAGCTTATTCATACCCAAAGCCCATGTTTCAAACCAGCAATTGATAACCATAGGAGGAGACATGATCGTCATCATTAAAAAATCCGAGAATGCTAAGTTTATTACAAGTAAATTACTTGGTGTTTTGAGATTAGGTGTTACCAAGAAAATATATACTACAACTCCATTGCCAGCCCAACCAATTAATCCAAGAAAAATCATAACCAAGCCTAAAATCTTGTGCCAAAGAAAATATAGGGGAGGAAATTGATACCTAAGAAAATATATAAAAAAAATATTATTTATACACAACTTAAGTAATGCAATCTTAATTGAGAATTGAAGAATTAATTCAATTACATTTAATCTTTCGTTTAATTATGATCATAGTAGAGTGTTATATTTTATATGAATATATTATACCAATGTGCACCGACGAGATGAAGCATTTCTGGTGGCAGTTTATCCGCTACGGTTTCATTATTGAAGCTCATGATCCGATGTGCGAAATGGGGTCCTGTTATGGATGTAGTCTGAATAATGTTAATCATTGTAGTTGTTAAAGCATTTGCAGTTATATTAGAAGTAGCAGGCACTAGTAGATCCATTTCCTGTGGACAGACATACACTTCTTAACTTGGGTACCTTTATTGCATATGTTTTAAACACAATTTAATTTTATTATGATACACTATAGAAAAGATATTTATTCACAATTAGTTAGTTAGCATAAAATAGATATTATCATAGTAAAATCAACATACTTAAGAAAATTATAATTTGCACCGAAGAAAATTTTTAGAAATAAAAAGACTAAATTAATAGGATATAAAAACTTTGCGGTTACTGAATGATTGCGATCAGTACAATGATAAATATTCCAATTACCTTTTTATATTAATGCACACTTTAATACTTTAATACAATTATTCAATAAAATATTCAACTGAAACCTTCTGCATATTCTTGGATCAGTTCAAGGTTGGATGACGCTAGTCTTTGTCTCTTATAATTTGTCTCAAGTATTTAAAACAGCTTATTTGCATGTTCTTGAAATATAAAGCTGATTTGAAATTTTGATCTATTGTATAAAAGTGTAATGTAAAAATAAAAATCCACAAACTTACTATTACTTCAAAATTCTAATGAAATTAAAATTTATAATTAAATATAAATTTATCTAATATTTGTATTATAAGCAAATTTATTTTCTATGTACATAATATAAATAATATGATTTTGTAACAATATTGTGAGAACTAATCAACGATTCTTGCAATGCTTCTTATGTATCTACTATGGCCTTCATGCACAGCTGTTTCAAGTTCTTGGGCAAGATGCAGCAAATTGTTTGGATCAGTTTGTAACAAAACATGCTTTATCTCATCGCAATTCGAAGTATTTTTTAATGAAAAATCCAAAGTAACCAATGGAATCACTTGTCGAAGTAATGATCTAGATGCAATCTAAAATGTTACATTCGTTATTTATTTTCAATATTATAATAATAAAATTTTATATCCAATTTAAACTTTTTCTATACTAAGTTTCTATACTAATTATATAAAAATATTTTATAAAGCCATAAATTATATTTATACCTGAACTTCAAATCTCCATTCCATGTCATGATACTGAGGTAGTTTTATACCAAAATTTAAAAGTGCATTTGACAGTTCTTGTTTCTTAATCATATATAATTTATTCAATACATTTTCTTGTTCTTCGGAAAAACCTAATCCTATAACAACTTCTTGAAAAATATTTTTTTCAAGCTATAAATGTTGCAGTATAAATGATTAGCAAAATGGAATAAAATAAAATAAATATTTTTGAAATTATTTGCGAAATTATATTACCTTACATTTACAACACTCGAGTAATAAATTTAGAAGACCTTCGACTGAATTTCTGATAACTTGAGGTTCAACTTGTAACTTCTCTATAATTATTAATGAATATTCTTTTAAGAATACAAACTTTAGTTTTTGCTTAATAGTACATATTACTATTTTAATATATTTTTATATATTACTTTTTGATTTCTAAGTAGCGTTATTTAATTTAGTTACAAAATTATTGAATAAAACGATAAATTGTTTAATACCATTTTTTAAATTAATCATTTGAAAATTATTCTATAAAACTGTATAAGAATATTTAAAATAATATTGCTCAATCATCGATATATGAAATATAGAAATATAGAAGTTCTTTGAATGAATACTTTATAGTAAAAACAAATAATATAAAACAGGCATATATATAAGTAATTTTTAGTATTTCTTAAGAGCCGAATGAAATAAATAAATATTATTACAATTGAGTTTTTATTCATTTTTTATTCATTGAAATATTTCAAATTGGATTAAACTATTTTATTTTCCTATAAAATAAATAATTATAAATCTAATAATACATTTTGAAAATAAAATAAATAATCAATAAAACTATGAAAAATATTGCATCAACACTGGATGCCCTTAAATCTTTCAACAATAAAAATTGTCATAAGAAATAATTCAATATTTCATATAAAAATTAATAATCGATGGAATGCAATGCAATAGATGCACTATTTATATTAAAATGTTATAAGAAAATATTCGTTGAACACATATTTCTATTAGATTTTTTATAACGTTATGCAGGATTATATATTTAGGTATTAAAGTATTTTTTCTCAATAAAATAAATTATTTATAAGTCATTCATTCATTTAGATATGAAAAAAAAACATTAAAGTTTATAAATATTATAAATGCATAAATAGCAATTTACTACGTACGTGCTGCAGCACTGTAAAGCTTAAAATTTGGTCCTTTTTGCAAATAATCGAATGCTAATTTGCAAAAATCTTGTAATACTGAAAAAAAATATGAAGATTTAAAATTGTAGTGCTACAAAAGTTCAATAATATTATTTATTATAAGAGGAAACAAAGGTTAGACTTTTACCTTGTGCAGATTGTTCGGATAAAAATTGTAAATGTTGTTTGTGGTTTATTGTAAAATTCGGTAACATTATGTTTGCGATATAATTCTCAAAGATTATTACAGCTTCATGGGTATTTCAATAATAATGAATAAAATACGAAATTTACCAATATTCAATGTATTAAATGTAATGTTGGCACATCATAGAAAATGTAAATACACCTCTTAGATTCGCCATTTTTAATAAGTTTTCGAAATACGAATTCCCGATGGTAGAAACTTAAATAGAAGCCAATAATATTACATGTGTCAGATTTTACAGTTTCTAATTCAATTTGAATTTAAGTTCTAAATTCATAGTAAATTTGTTAAGTTGTTCGTTAATTCATATAAATTATTAATAATTGAAATAAAAAAATGTTTCAAGAAACTTGGGTATTACAATGTTATTCATGTAAAATATTTCAGGTAATTTTTATATGAATAATTATTCATTACTAAGAAAATAAATTAAAACGAAATTTCATTGAATTTGCATCATTATTAAAGTTCAAATATAACCTAAGAAAATTAATTTATACAAAATAGAATGTTTTAATAATGTATATAAAAGTTAATACAATAATATTAGAGTTAATATGCAAATTTATATTAACTTTTTTATTTTATTATAGGGTCATATCAAGAAAAAAGCAAAACGATGGCAATGTAAAGTTTGTGGTGCAAAACAAGATTTGATGCATGTATGTATTATAATTACAATTAATATTTATTTTACATTGTCATTAAACAATTAAATTTATTATCCATATTACCTTAAATTTAACGAGGAATCATTTTCAAAGAATTTAAGAAATCAAATTTTACTTTGCAACGATTGCAATATTTTATTATATCACACAAAAACAAAATAGATACTATAATTTTTAATTATTTGTGTTAAATCATGTTTGTATCTCAAAAGAAATTATTATTACTTAATTGTTGAATATATATTTATTATATATATTATATATAAAATATTTTAAATATAAAATTTTGTTATTTTTCTTTATTTATAAAATGATAAATATAATAATAAAAAATATCCCAAGCAATATGTACAGTTGAATAATTAATAATTAAACGATTGTAACTTATATAGTGATAATATTAATAGATTTATCCAATCAATAATTTTATAAAATCATTCATCAATTTCTAATTAAAGAATATTTTTCAATTTTATATATTTATTTTATGTTTTAATTTATTGAGTTTTCTGTTAATTATTTGTAGGTATTTTTTAAAGGATGTCCAACTGATTGTCGAATTAATATACAAAGGATAAATTTTGAGAGAGGAGAGAAATCAACAAATTTACAGGAGCAGTTTAATTATATACATGAAAATCAAAATGATGACGAATTTAAAAGTAGATTGCATAATTTTCAAGATGAAAATAATATTTCGTATAATAAGCTGCAGAGTTCTTTCACAGAAACAAACAAACAAGCATTTAATGTTACAGAAACATATTCAGAGGAAACCACAGAAATAGTAGATATAAAAGATACGAACAATATTTCAAATACATGTGTAATGTTAGAAACTCAATTATCTAACAGCAATGACAACATTAATATCAATATGATAGACGATTGTGATAATATAAATTCCACAGATTTTACAGTCAAGTCGGTAGATAATAATATTAATAAACACTTTAATGTAGAAGTACCAAAATTAAGTATTTTTGAAAGTTATAATGATTTTGATGAGACACTCGATTTTTAAATTTAGTATTTTAAGCCATAACTATTATAATAAATAGATAGAACGTGAAAATATTCAAAAATTTATCCATTGAAAAGTTTGGATGTTTCTATTTAGTGAAATAAAAAGGATGGCATATATTATTTATTACAAGTAAGATATAATAAAATATAGTAGTGTAGATAGTTTCAAAAGTATTTTTTAATGCCAAAGTTTTATACATTTTCAAAATTTATAAATAATATAACTTATATTAATTACAAATACATGTAACAAATTCATATGTATATCTTTTATCAACAGTAGAATAATCAAAAAATTCCTCCGATTAAAATGAATAATCCAAAAAAGATGATGGATAAATCTGTATCGAAGAGTTTTTTACTTCTTCCAATATGTGATTAGGTTATAAAATATCACTTTGCAGTATTTATCATATCATATTGTTTGTACTATTTTTATTTAATAATATCAGGCCAAGAGAGTATTTTCAATCATTTAAACACTCATTATAAACATATATTTTTACTAATAAAATATTTGTTTCAATTCAGTTCAATTGTTTCAGCATTATTAACATAGATTTATAAGGATTTGTAAAGAAAAAAATGAATTTTTAATATTTAAACAAACAAAAACAAAAAAAAAAACAAAAAAAAAAACAACAAAAAAAAAAAGAAAGAAAGAAAGAAAGAAAAATATAATAAAAACAAAATAATTTATAACAAAGAAATTTTATTTTCTAGAGCTTAAAATTATTTAAGCAAATTAAAATAGTTTAATCGAATAATTTATGAAACACAACTTTTCTTAAACTTAGTAGAAATGAAAATATTTTTACATTATATTTAAATTATATAATTTAACATAAGTCGTCATTCAGAGAAATTTTTTTATCGGAGGCATTGGCTTTACGTGCCTTTAATATTATTTAATATACATATTCAATTTTCATGCTTTAACACAATGTTGTAATTATTGTTTTTATTGTATCTCCAAAGTGTAAAACTATTTAAATAATTGCATAAAAAAAGATATACCAAATCATACGCTATTTCATATTGAAAATTAGTTAAATATACAGTAGATGCTTTATATTTTTTCTAATTTTTCATACTGAATAATAAATATTAATATAAAATGCATCTGGCAATGGCATTGTGTAAACAAAATTTTATGAAAATCAAAATGATTTAATGACATAAAGCAATTTGAAGTCAAAGCTTATGATAAACTATTGATTCTTTTTGTATTGTTGTTAATGTTCTTTGTATTAATTACATTTACTTTAAGTTAAAACAATTTTATCATTCTAAAAATAGCATTGACAGGAAAAATGTTATGTTTTCCTTCCTTTAAGATATTTATTCACTTAGCCAACTAGAATTGGTAAAACAAATTTATTATCAGAAGAAAGCTATTTGCTACATAATGCAAATGGGCAACATGGATAATTTTTTGTTAATTGTTGAAATATTAATATTTAATGTTTGAAACAATTTTATCGCTACGTTTTTTATATTCTTGATTGTCAAGGCAGCCTATGTAAGCAGTAATTTGCCTTTTTTTTTTTTTAACAGTCAAGCACATCAGAATTATAATTCTATAAAAAAAATCTCTTTGATGAATTAAAATTGCCCATTCTTACATATTTGCTTTTAATGAGTGGATACAGTTTATCTAAAAATTCCTTAAATCATAGTTATATTTTTATTTATTGACTCTTAGCAGAGATGGCGGATTAGTTGCGATTTTTGCCATTTTATGTTTTGTTAAATAAAGTAATGTTAAAAACAACTATTAATTACCCAATATCTCTGTAAGAGTACTGACAAAAAGTAAAATCAAATTAGCAATTGATTAATAAAACTACGTGTGATGCCGCTGCCTTCTTAGACTCGTTATATCATCATGATATCGCCTGCTACTTTGCCAGCTTCGATTATGTCTATTCCAAAAACTACAAAATAAAAAATGAGTTTTAGAAATATTATAATTATAAAACCTATTATAATAAGAATAATAGAAATATTACTAGGGCCATTTTTTACTGCGTCTTCGATTTTGCGAATGAAGTAATTCACTATCACTGACTATTTGTAAAGTTGATGGAACGAAAGTTTCACCTAGGTATTTAAGAAATCGAATTGTTTTTTTTTTTTTTTTTTTTATGATTCTCACGTACTTTTGCACATTTAATTGCATTATTTTTCATTAAACTCACCAAACGCATCGGAATATTTTCTTTTGAGCATAGATCTTTGCTGTTGCTGAATAAGCATATCTTTTACGTTTTCTCTTGCAACACCCACGGTACAATCATGAGTGCCTCTGCATCGTTTCAAGTGCTCTAGTTGATCATGCAGGTATGACTTTTCCAGTGGATTTAACGAGGATATTCTATTCCATTGCTCAAATGGGTCTATAAAGAGATATAAATTTATTTTCAAAATCAACTGATTTTCAACTGATATTTTTACAAAATATATTTCCTGCGTTCATCGAGGTATGTCACATACTCTATGTAGACGATGCCGACTTTAATTTTTTTTTTTTTTTTTTTTTTTTTAATTCGTTATTTTTCATTTTATTACTTATTGTATAGATTATGTATAAACCGCAAGAGCACCATGATTCTTAGATTGGAGGGATTCGGAGTGAAACATTTATGGAGATTTTAGAGTTCCGACTTCAATGTTCAGTGTTAAGATTGAAAAGACCTACGAAACATCCAAAATCTTTCTTGGCGACTCGTAATTTGGAAGTGACGCGAATACAATTTCTTCACATTTTCGACAATAAAATTTTGTAAACACCCTAGACGTATTAGATTGTTGTTTTTCTTTCTTATTCTCGTTTATGAATTATATAAAGGAACAATAAATGAATATACCAATTGTAGTAAAAACGATTTAATAATATTTGTTATGTAATAATAATGTTTAATTTCTAATTTTTGTAAAATTCAAGAAATAAATTAAAATTTAAGATCGATATGATTTCTACAAGTTCATTGTATTTGAAAAGAATTTTTCAAATTCTAGACAGACAATTAATCCTTCTATTTAGAAACTCTAGGCAAATTCCTGTCCATAGACGCATAATAACATTGATAAAAGTATATCAATTTTTATTCAGTAACGTGCTTATATCTAAAAATGTAACGAGGGGGCTTACCGATTCGCAAGTTGTAAAAAGTGACGAGACCAGTGGTGAACTCACAATAAAGAAAATTGTGCGTAGCGTTAATGGTACGGAGACAGGAGTACGTATTATTATTGGCGTTCATACAAAAGCAGAAAGGTCCAGCGTTCCATAGGGGTGCAGTACGCCAATGATCATTGTCATGTTCGAAGCAGTTCATTTTTTCCGTCAAGCACTCCTTTTCCAATTTGGCCTTCTTCCTGAGCTTGCGCTCTTTCTTCCGTATACGCTCCTCCTTGAGTCTTCGCTTTTCTTCCTTCGCCACCTCCTTCTCGTCTCTAATATATTCAATAATTTGAATTATTAATGACGCTGGCTTTAAAATTTTTTTTAAATATCGATACATAGATCTTTAAAGTATTATTTTTTCTCCTTTCCATCAAATTCCAATCTGATATTGTTAATTAATTCATCTACTAAATATATATCAAATCGTATTATTTGGAATAATTTTTAGCGAATGACATAATCGCAAAACTATTTAATATTGGGACAAAAGTATATTCTAATTTATTGTTAGATAGTTTGTTTAGAATCAAATATTTGAAAATTAATATAAAATATTAGAAAATATGGTAAAATGATGGTAAAATGATTTTTAAACTCCATACTTTTGTGGTTATTTGATAAATATTTTATTATATTTTTAAAAATTATGTATTTATTGAAAATAATTTAGTTGTAGTTGAATTAAAGGCAATTTTTATAAATGATTATTGGCATAAAGTTTAAAAATGTATTAAAATCATTAGAAATGTCATTTTAAAATTATTATAGAAAATTATTTTAAATTTAAAATATTTTACTATTCTATAAGAATTAGTAGTTTTACATAAAGTTTTAACAAAAAAATAAGTCACTATTCTACTAAAATGTAGTTAAAATACATAACCAGGCTATTTCTACATGGTATTACAATAAATAGTAAATTTATCTATTTTTCCTTAATTTTATTTTAAACTTTTTTATTCTGTTTAAATTTTGCAGTTATATAAAATATCTAATTATTTACATTAAGAAGATGTGAACGTGCAATCTTATGCTCTTTTACCTAATGTAAGTATCCGATTCGCAAAAACATTTATGTTGAAGTTCTTGTGTTAATGGTGTTTTAGAAGAATACGACGTTGGATGTTTTCGCGTTTGCTTATCCGTTGAATCGAGGAACTCATCTTTTCGACCATGATTATTTAAATTAGTTATTGGTCTAATCCGATGTGATGTTTTTGAAGTTTTTTTTGGATTAAGATTCCATTCTAAGTTTTCGTTGTTGTTAGCCGCGCTGATGGTTGTCTCTGTCGTTGTCCCTGTTGAACTCGTTGATGATATTGAAGATATCGAGGTTGTTGGTAGTATTATATTCATAGTGCTTTCATTGATCCATGTACGACTAGTAGGCTTATCAGTCGAGGAAATCGAAAATTTGTCAATGGACTCCAAAGGATGTTCATAATTATCAGTAGTTTGTACTATTCGTCTCAGAAGTGAATTATCCGAAGAGTCCTCGGCTGCCTTTACGCTGGTTAATATTGTTGAAGTAGTTGGTAATAGCTTTTGAATTATAAGGCAATATTATTTATAATAATTTCAACGAGCAAAATTACATAATTGTATCAAATTCAAAATTATATATTTCTGAAAGTACGTAAACGTATATTTAACGTAAATGTCTTTTAACAATACATTTGCGTAGTTTAATTACGAAAATTCATTATTTGATATAATTAAATCTCAAATTGAATTCAATTTTTGTTTTTTATTTATATAGACAAATTCCCATAAATTCCCATAGTACATTATTTAAATATATTAGATTGTCATTAATAGATAAGTTTTAAAAATTCTTGAATTAACTCGTTATTTTTACTCTATATGCTTATTATTAATTAATTACACCTATTTCAATTTATGATTTTAATTTTAAATTACTAAGAATTATATATAGGTTTTTTTTCTTTTTTTTTCTTTTTTTTTTCTTTTTTTTTTACAAAATCATACAATAAATATAATAACATACTTGAGAAGATTTGTCATTACGTTCGTTTCCCGTTACAAAGTATTTTTCCGATAAGGTAATTTCCACCGTAGCTTCGGTCGATCTTGCATCCGAAGTTACAATATCTTCGTGTACACTATTTGTTAATAAGGTATTGTTTTTTCGTCGTAAATGAGTTTTTCTACGTCGTTGTTGATATTTTTCGTCATCGGTATTGATTTGTAAGCCGCTAGCACTCTCGATTTTCTGTCGACAACCATTTTTTTTTGGTCTTGGCGTTGCTAAAGCCATCGATCCTTCCATTCCTGACGTCGAAAAGGCGGAATTCTCTGTCGTTTGTTCACTACCGGCGCTGAAAATCCTGTTCTGATAATTGACGGTGCGTGCACCGCTAGAAACAATGGGACTTGAATTGGTTGAAATTTCAAAGCCATGATGAACGTCTTTTTCATGCTTTCGGTGATGCCGACTTGTGTGATTATGAGAGACGTTACTATTAATGTTGGGATGTCGTGAATGTCCCTTATACTGTGATGAATTATTCGTTGTCTCATCTACATATTTTGGCCAGTATTGTTCATGTTCTTCATTATTCGATACTTGTGGACGCTTAAGCATTAAATGACGTCGGATCTCCTACATGAATCATAATCAGTTAATATAGCTATCTAGTTGCATATGATAATCGAAAGAGAAATGTAATTGTATATTTACGTGCCTTTAGAGTCTCTAGTTGCATTCTCATATTACGAATTTGTTGTTCGATTTCCTTTCTAGATATACGCCACTCGTTTGGATCCTTATAAACGGATTGAGTGCAGTTTACATCACCACGAGGAAGGATCGAACATTTTGGTGTAAACTGTTTATCCGAATTTGAATGTTTCGCCTAAAATTTCCATATTATATTTCAGATAATTTAATAAGTTTTATTCTTTCCAATGATGCAAAACAATTTTTTTTTAAAAAAAAATTTTTTTTTTTTTTTTTTTTTTTTTTTTTTTATGGATTACTAGACATTTTATTAAGATAAAAAAAAATATTTCCTTTATTTTTTGTTAAAAAATTTGCTATCAAATGATAAATAACTTTCATATTCCTTCTTGAAAAGGTGTGCAAAAATAATGCCGGAGAATAATCACAAGTTACGCGATTACTCGCGGATAAGAAAATTCAATTAAATTATCGCTATATGATTAATGTTTCTGATATGTACTTATGATAAGTCTGTATAGCGATGAGATTACGGTGATAGTCGAGAGGTTGGGCCCTTTATCACTGTACTCTGTTTTTCGGAGGACAGAATCTAAAATCTATGTGCCTTGTTGCGTATGTATTTTAATTTTGATAGCAAATTTATCTCTACGACACGAGGAGAATTTTCATAGAACCGTTAATTAGAACATGGTACTTAGAATTTTTATTTCAATGTTAGAATGTCAGGAGAAAATTTGGATTTTTGTAAATTACGATCCATACCTTAAGATCATCCAATTCTTCTTCGATGCTCTCCATAATTTTAGTCACATGTTCAATACTATCTTTCTTCGTAGTACTTCTACGTATTCTGTGATGCCTAGTAATTATATCGTCAATGTCCAAATGACTATGTATAAAAGCATTTAATGTCTTAGTATCAAAGTCTTCCGAATCTCTGACTAACTTGCCATCTTTTATATTTCTTTTACCTATTAAAAATGAAATATTTTAAAACTTTTGTAAACAAATGTAATAAATCTATTAGTAAAAAAAAAATAAATTTTCTTTTAAAATTTCTAATTAATAATCAACCTTGCACTTTAAAAGAAGTAAGACAAAAATAAGCAGATTTGTTACAACAATTTATTTATATTTATATGTGCATTAACGATAGCTCCTATTATTAATATAACATTGCATCGAAAATAAAGCATATTATTATAAATAATAATACAATCGTTCACAATGAAAAGATAAAGATAATTTAGTATTGCATATATTAATAACATTTATAATAATAAGTATGCAATACTGGAGGAAGTATACATTAGAATTTAATTTAATTTAATGTTAATATTTAGCATATAATTGTAATGATTCTGAATTTAAAATTACATTAAATTTTGTAAAAATGTAAATATAAGGAAAATAATTAACTGCATATAATTATAACTAATTTTATGTACTTAAATAACAGATAGTAAGATCCTTTCTTAAAAATTTATAAACTAAAAATTGAATTAATTTTATACTGATAGAAAGTAGTTTGATTGTACGTTAGGCGTAAGAACGGAACAAACTTAATTGATTTAATCAAATGACTTAAATCGTTTTCAAATTCACACACGTATAAATAAATATAAAATAAGTGTAACATGTAAAATATTTTATATTTATACGCTTGTAAATTTTAAAACGATCCAAGTCATTAAATTGTTGCCGATAAAAAGATAAATTTGAGTTCTGTTAAACTGCAATCATAAAAGAAATTTATTTAAATAAAATGAAAAAAAAAAACTCTTTCGAATAATATATTTATTAGATAATCATTTTAATTCATTATATAAGATTCTCCAGAATTTTTAATAGATTATAAAGTTTCCGTTTTTCTTCTTCTTGCAATTATTTAATGAACAATAGACCATAAATATTATTAAAACTATTCATGATCGATTGAAGTAAATTATTTAAATTAAAAAGCACATCGGATTCTATTAATTTTTAATAAACATTTAATATTCCATTAAATATACCTGAAATATTAATACAAAATTTACGATGAATAAATCAAGGCAAAGTTAGAAATTATTTTAACGATAATCAATCCTACATGAGTATATTCAAGAGGAAAAGCAAAAGAGAAATAAAAAGATACTAATCGAAATGCATAATTAATTGTTGACGGATAGTAAATTTTATTTATAGAATAAAATTTTCTAATGACCAAAAAGCCGACGTAATATTCGTTACCTCTAGCTTTTCCAAAATAGAACGCTCGATAAATGTCATGAAATGTGCAAGGGAAAAATTAAGCACCTCGTCTAGGAGCGACCGCCTGCACTTGTCCGTAAGGACCTGTGAACCTGCTCTCTTTGCCAAAGACGAAACGGTGTCCGTTAAAGTCGTTGGCCTCGAGGCGCCTGTAAACGACGCCGTTAGGCGTGAAGCAGGCACACTTTTTCCAAGCGTTACGGGGAGTGGTCGCCCCGGTCGATCCTGGGATCTGCTCCTGGCTTCCATCTCCTCGGCACTTATGCCGGCGCCAGCGTTGACCCTCCCTCTCGCAGCGCCACTTCTGCCCGGGTTGGCAGTCCGCTTGGGCCGAGGGTCGTGAGCACTCGGCCGCTAGTCGCGCATGTTTCAGCGAATGAAAGTTGTTTGGCTGTCTCTGATGCGGCTGGATCACGCCGTTGTCTAATCGTGACTCGCTATCCGTCTCAGCTTCAGCTGTAATGAAGTTGTGACGTTAAACTTTGACGATAACATTAATCCCCGAGTGGTATGATTCGTCATAATTCCAAGGAGATCTCAAGCCGTACCACTGCCATTTACTTTTAGACATTCTACTACAACTTTGATAAACTTCAATCGATCTTTATCGTAAAACTCAGTCAAAGTAAATGTTAGGCTTGCCTAAAGATTGCTATGGATTTATGGATTTAATCGTTGTATATTACAGTTTTATATGATATATTAGAAAAATATCAAATTAGTCAATACAAAAATGATTAACTTGTTGATCGAGAGATCATTAAAAGTATGGTTTTTTTTTTTTTTTAAGATTGATAAATTACAAGAACTATGAATTTCTTTCTTAGTATTCAATACTAAGGCATACGTAAATGTTAAAAATAAATTACCAAAAAGATTATTGTATAATATTTTCATCGCAATCCATTTTTATTTTTATTTTTATTTTTATGATTATATTCACTTTTATCTTATTGCATAATTTTCAATATTTCTTTTAACAATTCTCAATATGTTCAGTAAATCATAAAGTTATCTTAAATCATAAAAATTATTGTTTGCTTAAAAATTTTGATACATTTAATATTTAATAAATTCTTTTCACATTATAAAATATAAAAAAGTACTCGTTTACCATGATCGCCTAAAGTGGCATCACCGATATCGTCGATGTCAGAAAAGTCTTGATCGTTATCCGAGTTGCTTTCGCTAATTTTTCTAGAGATCGAGTCTTCCGAATCTATTGTGTCACCGTCGTCATTTATACTTGCAGTATTGACATTTAATTTCGCTTGCTTTCTTGCTTCACGAGCCTTTGCTTCAGCTATCGATTCAGGTGTTTCGCGTCGACCCGAAGACTCAATCAGGAATGTGTCGGGCCATTTACATTTGGATCGCCGTCCAGATTTGTTACTATATGTAGAAAATATAAGGACTTTTATATATATATATATATATTTTTTTTTCACTATTATGTTATTTACTTGTACGTACGTTACTATAATAATTAATGAGGATTTCACATTCAAACCAAGGTAATTTAGAAGAAGTATCTTATTATTTATTAAGATATTGTTAAATACGAGAAAGTATAAATAATAAAAATTTAGAAAAACATTATTTACTTGAAATATTGTAAATATGACGTATAAGCAATAATATTGCAATCTTAGATTTTTCTACGTATCTCATTTGGATTTCCCGGGCACGAATAAGAGAAAAATTCCAATAATATAATATTTTTTCTTTTTAATATATAAAATTGATTTTATAAGAATAATAATTTCCATAAATAGATGAAATAATTCGTTGCAATAAAAATTTTAATTTCTACTTATTTACATTTGTTTGACCGAGCCCAAACTCCCGGCACAAAAATACAAGATTAACGGTCATCAAATTCAATCCTATCTGACACATCACGGTGTGCTCAAACCTAATAGTACTACAACCAAACTAAGAGTAGTATTTAATGGCTCCAGCATATCAACATCAGGTCTGTCACTCAACGACATAATGCATATTGGACCGAATTTCAATCCAGACTCTCAACATATCAGATGTTTTAATCTAGACCAGAAGACAACGATGTTTCTTTGCTACTGACATTACTAAAATGTACAGGCATATAAGAATCCACACGAATGACTGGGACCTTCAGAGAATCCTGTGAATATACGAACAAGGGACAGAAGTGACATACCATTTGACAACAGTCACATATGGAACAAGAGGTACTTCGTTTCTGGCAATCAGAACATTATTCCAACCGAGGGAGTCAAATTCTCCCTTGCCGTGCCATCCATCACCCATGGCAGATATGTAGACGACATCTTAGAAAGTGCAGACACTCCAGAACAGTTAACCGAAGTCGCACTCCAATTACGAGATCTCTGCATGGCGTGCGGTTTCCCGTTGGCAAAATGGTATGCTAAACATCAAAATGTAATCACCGCAATCAGCGCGCATCGAAATGACACCCCAATCAAGTTCGATGATTGCGCTACCAAAATACTTGGCTTAATATGGTCTTCAAAGCAGGAGAAATTCACATTCACGACAGGAAAAAAATTTGGTGGAAATAAACAATCCTACTAAACGCCTCATTTTATCTGACGTCGCTCAGATATTTGATCCATTAGGTTCTGTTTCATCTGTCGTGATAAAGGCAAAAATCTTCGTGCATGAGCTGTTGCTACATAAGATCCAATGGGACGAAACGTTGCCATAGCAACTTTCTTCGCAATGGTCAATTATTGGAAAGGATCTCGCCAATTTGACCGAAATTACAACACCACGTTGGCTCGATATAAACGGCACCTCATACTTATATGTACATGGGTTCTCTGATGCATCACAGTTGGTAATTTATTCAACAACGTGTACAACAATTGTGCGCACAATGGTCAGCTCATTATTTACAGCAGTAACAGTTAATCATTAAATGGCACCAAGATTGGCTCGTTGGTGCTTGTCACTGATCAACGCCTCTCACCATGCAAATGGCTCTCACTCGAGTTATCGATACCCATCCTGGCAAGGATGGACTGGCTACATTAAGGACTTCTTCGACCACCATGACAAGACCAATCCATAACCAATCATAAAAAAAATCTATTGTGACTTTTGGAAAAGTATAAGCCTTCTAGCTATTAAAATTTGTAAACATTTGATTCCGAGAATTTTCGAATATTTCAAAGCCTTATTTTCAAATGCCATACAATGTTCATATGGTCTTCGCATAGCAACACTTATAACTTGTTGCTAGCTAAGTAAGCTGCCGCGTGGATATTTAAAGGAAGCACACTACGCCTAAACGTTCGTTGTAAATTATTCGATCAGTAAATTATTCAAACAGTTATCAGTCATTACGCTATTCGACTAATCTATTCAGCCAGTGCTTTCTGCCATACAACAGTCACTCGGTTACACTAATTGTAATTAAGCCATTCCGTCAAATTTTACAACAATAAACTAGCCAGTCAATCAGTAAAGCTAAAACAGTGAGGCCATAACTCACAAGCAGTCAAGGGTGCTGACTGCATTACGAGAAACTATACGGCTGCAAGAAGCATAGCATCAAGGTATTTCCTTACACTTTCTAGGCCACACGTCCTATATAGGAGTGTGCGCATATTACTGCTAATCCTTACAACATTAGCAGACGTCATGACATCGTTACCATCAAGGAGCAACCACAATCATTGCGACAAGAGAAAGTTTTACACTCTTCTATAAGAACTGAATACTGCTTATTACTAATGTAACTATTAATAAACCATATGTTAACGAAGTCTGCACAATATACACATTTCTACAACCCACCGACTTGATTCCGACCCAAGCATCAGCTAGGACGGACGGCAAATTATTAAAGCTATCGAAACATTGGCAGTTCTAGCCAAAAAAACAACCCAGTTTCTAACAACGTTCATAAGATAAAAATTAAATTAAAATAATATAACGTCATTATTATGGTATATTCATGCCTATAAAATTTTTATAATCTTTATTGATAAAAAGCCAAACGTTTTTCACAGCGAAAAAGAAAGGATAAAAGCAAAGGAAGAAGAATGATGAAATGGAAAAAAGACTTACTTGAAGAAGAGTTTTTTAAATGAACGCCCGTCCATTCTTGGCGGTGTTTCAACGCCAGCGATATCCAGGAAGGTCGGCGCCAAGTCAATGTTCAAGACTATGTCATCTACTCTGCAACGTAGCTAAATATAACGACGATTCTACAACGTAATCGCATGGGTAGGGAGAATATCAAATAAAAAGGGCTATACTATAGGTTGATCACGTGAGAAACTTACACGGATCCTGGCTCGATGCCCGGCCCTCGGATCAGGAATGGCACACGCACGTCAAACTCGAACGGAAAGCTCTTGCCCTTGATCAAGCCAAACTGGCCCAAATGATAGCCGTGATCCGACGTATAAATAATATACGTATTGTCCAATTCGCCCAAGTTTTTCAGTTCTTGATAGATCTAAATATTTATGAGGTTTTTTATTTCTGTTCTTTACATTTCTTTAACCAAATCTTAAATTACAATCCAATGAACAATTTTATACAATTTTCATTAAAGCAAAATGGATGGTAATACTATTATTGTGTAACACGGTTCACTCACAGGATAACAGTAATTTCGCTCGGCAAATTCTCAAGCGCATAAAAGTGACGTTTCTTAATGTAGTGCTTGAATAATAAAAAAAAAAAAAAAAAATAAAAAAAAAAAAAAAAAAAAA